ACGTTATAAATCAGTAAAATGGTGATAGGTTTATACAGCATACACCCGTCGATGGCTGAATGTAGCCGAAACTAGTAGTGTATTTAAATGATGTTTTAAATCTTTTAATATTACTTTATTAATATAATTGTGAGTGACTGAAACTTTTAATATATATTTAAATTAGTCCACCAATCACAAAACTAAGCGGGAAGTCGAACCAATGATGTTACAAAATTCAGATTTCGGAATGAGTGGGATAAATTCATATATTTGAGAGACAAACTTCTTTCAGTGAGTTGAGTTGCCATTCGTCAGTCGTTGTTGTGAGTTGTCAGTTATCAGTTGGTGCAAGTTCGTCCTTGAACAGTTCCATTATAAAATATTAATCGGTTATCACGGACACATATGTGTATTCACTTTACTCTGTTCACAAACAAATTTGCATCATTTGCCAGTATCGCGGGGAGAAATTAAATTAACAATTGCCTGCAATAAAGACCTAAAAACACAGCTGAGGTGATCTTAATTTAAACCCAGCATAAGAGTCTCGTGTCTCGTTTACCAAGAGCAGAATCAAGGATAACGAAGATAAGAAGAAGAGAAACAGTTACAATATAAAACACCTGTATATTATATAGATAGAAAGTTCCCATGTATGTACTTATTCAATAAACCACGCATGTGTATGTGTGACATTTCTGAAGTCTTTCACTGCCCTCTCGTCGCCTGGGCCACGCACGCCGTTGCACGGTGAATACCGTGCCACTGTTTGGTGAGCTGCTGTCACGTGTGTGCGTGGGGCATGAATTTTAACTGTACATTCAAACTTTGAGCAATTTTTTCGCACCCTTGCACAGCATATCAGCAGCTGAAATTTTGTGTACAATCATTACTAAATGGGCTCTGTAGACGAGAAAATCTGAGGTGAGGTTTTGACCTGACCAATCGGACCATTCCCTTGTGAATGATGCACCTACAGAGTTCTGAACAAGATAAAGATTTCTGCCAAATACAGTGTGTCAAGAAAAAACGTTCACAATTAAGTGGACATTCAGGAATTGAAAAACGAAGTTTTGCCACTGTCACAACATGAACAATTTGTTGCATATATGATATGTAGTGTAAAAATTAAGATAACTTTGTTTGAGCTTTGTAAGTAAAAGGAGCAGAAGAACTTTTGTGCTTGTTTCTTTATTAGTCTGTTTCCTTGCTTGCCCCCCCCCCACCCC